ATTTTGGTATATGGTACTTATCTAAGAGATGTCCATTTCTTTTACATTTTTCAATTTTGTGACATACAGGCTTTTGTAGTAGGATCTAATGATTCTCTTATTTCCTCAGTGTCTGTTAATATATCCTCCTTTTCATTTCTGATCTTATTAATTCGTGTGTTCTATCTCTGCTTTTTGATTAGTTTGGATAGGGGGTTGTCAATCTTGTTGATTTTCTCCAGGAACCAGCTTTTTGTTTCATTGATTCTTTAGATTGTTTTCTGTTTCTATTTTGTTGATTCCAGCCCTCAGTTTGATTATTTCCAGTCTTCTACTCCTCCTGGGTGAGTCTGCTTTTTTTCCTAGAGCTTTCATGTGTACTGTTAAGTCTCTAATGTGAGCTTTCTTCATTTTCTTTATGTGGGTACTTTAGTGCTATGAACTTTTCTCTTAGCACTACTTTCATAGTGTCGCATAGGTTTGGGTATGTTGTGTCTTTATTATCTTTTAAATTTAAGGAAGACTTTAATTTTTTTATTTATTTCTTCCTTGACCCATGGGTGGTTCAGTAGCTGACTGTTCAGTTTCCATGAGTTTGTAGGCTTTCTGGGGTTAGAATTATTGTTAAATTCTAACTTTATTCCATAGTGATCCAATCAGACACTGGTGGTTACTCCAATTTTTTTTGTATCTGTGGATGTTTGCCTTTTTACCAAGTATGTGATCAATTTTTGAGAAGGTTTTGTGAGATGCTGAGAAGAAGGTGTATTCTTTCCTATTTGGGTGGAATGTTCTATAGATGTCTGTTAAGTCCATGTGATTCATTACATTTGTTAGTACTCTTATTTCTCTCTGGTTGTCCTGTTCATTGGTGAGAGCAGAGTGTTGAAATCTCCTACTATTACTCTGTGGAGTTTGATCTGTGATTTGAGTTCTAGTAAAGTTTCTTTCACATATGTGGGTGATTTTATATTAGGGGCATAGATATCACTGAGAATTCATCTTGATGAATTGTTCCTGTTATGAGTATAAAGTATCCTTCTCCATCTCTTCTGATTGATTTTAGTTTGAAATCAATTTTGTTAGATATTAAGATAGTCACACCTGATTGTTTCTTAGGTCAATTTGCTTGGAAAACCTTTTCCCAACCCTTTACTCTGAGGTCTGTCTTTGAGGTTGAGGTGTGTTTTTTGTAGACAGCAGAATGTTTGATCCTTTTTTCATATCAATCAATTTTCTTAACATGTGCCTTTTTATAGGCACATTTTATAGGTGAATTGAGTTCATTAATATTAAGTGATATTAATGACCAGTGTTTGTTAACTCGGGTAATTTTTTGGTTGTACTGTTTGTGTGTTTCCCTTCTTTGAGTTATGCTGGTAGAGGGTTGTCAGATGTCTGTGCTATTGTGGGTGTTGTTGGCTTCATTGGGTTGTGTTTTTCCTTCTAGCACTTTCTGTAAGGCTGAGTTTGTGGCTACATATTGTTTAAATCTGTTTTTGTCATGGACTATCTTGTTTTCTCCATCTATGGTGAAAGAAAGCCTTGCTGGGTATAGTTGTCTGGGCTTGCATCCATGGTCTCTTAGTGTCGGCAGCACATCTATCCAAGACCATATGGCTTTCATGGTTTCCAGAGAAAAGTCAGGTGTAATTCTGATAGGTTTGCCTGTATATGTTACTTGACCCTTTTTCTTTGCAGCTCTTAATATTCTTTCTTTATTCTGTATTTGTGTTTTTATTATTATATTGTGAGGGAATTTTTTTTTTTTGATCCAGTCTACTTGGTATTCTGTAAGCTTATTGTATCTTCATAGGAATATCCTTCTTTAGGTCGGGAAAGTTTTCTTCTATAATTTTGTTGAATATATTTTCTGGGCTTTTGAGCTATAATTCTTCTCATTCTTCTACCGCTATTATTCTTAGGTTTGGTCTTTTCATGGTGCCCCTGAGTTCCTAGTTCTTTGTGTTAAGAATTTGTTGGATTTGCTGTTTTCTTTGATCAATGCATATATTTCCTCTATTGTATCTTCAGCACATGAGATTATTTCTTCTATCTCTTGTATTCTGTTGGTAATACTGTCTCTGTAGTTCCTATTCTTTTACCCAGATTTTCCATATCCAGCCGTCCCTTGGTTTGTGTTTTCTTTATTACCTCCCTTTTATTCTTCAAGTCTTGAACTGTTTTCTTTACCTGTTTGATTGCCTTTTTTTAGTTTTCTTGGGTATCTTTGAGGATTTATTAATTTCTTCTAACTTTTTGTGTGTCTTCTCTTCCATTTCTTTAAGGGAGTTTTTCACTTCCTGTTTAAGGGTCTCCATCATTTTCATAAGGTTACGTTTAAAGTCGATTTCTTCTACTTCTTTAGGAATAGGGTGTTCAAGTCTTCCTATTGTGTGCTCACTGGATTCTGTTGTTATCACATTGCTTTTCACATTTTTGGAGGAATTCTTGCATTGGCACCTGCCCATCTCTTCCTTCAAATGCTGCCAGGAGAGTCTTGGTGTCTTGGTCCAATCTTTGCTGTGGCTGTCTGTGTACTTGGGGGGGGGGGTTCTTGGTCTGCCCTCTCTTAGGTCCCCTCAGCACTAGAGGTGGCTCTCAGATCCCCTCCACCCTGAAGCAGGCTGAGATGGGGGATCCAAGGACCCCACAGATGAAAAGGAGTGCTTGTGGGCAAGATGGGATGGGGTAAATAAAGAAATTCAGTAGCCAGGAAGGCATCCAACTGGATGGCCAGAGAAGTTTAGGAAATTGAAGGGGGCCTGGACTTTGTTCCCTGGGACTGGCTGGCTGGGTGACCACTCACTCACCACTCTGGATGGATCTCCTTGCTCATTATTTTCAATAATTTCCCTCAATCTTTCGAATCTTTTTATCACTGCCTTTTATAAAATCTGAATCTCCTGCCCAGTGAATGTCCTCATTGAATATTTGAAGGTAGTAAATTTGTCCAGTATAGATAATGTCTTATTTTTGGACATAATATTTATGGTGTGCATATTTCCTTATTGGAGAGATATCTTATCCATTAATCTATCATAACTTTTTGACAGATCCCAATTATTAAAGTCATCAGTTTGAATTCTCTCAGATAATGTCTCAGCACCCTTCAACATTGACTGGATTTTTTCTGTCAAACTGATGCTATCCCTCTTCTTCTTATTGATCTTCAAAACTAGCTGTTCATTATTAGTCCATAAAAAAGTGTATCATTCCTAAAAGTGCAGCATTCTTGGCTCTGTTATCAAACCATTTTCTTAATGAGATAATATGAAAAACAAAACCAATCTCTAGAATCAAATAAATGGATGAATAAGGAAAATCATTTATGCCTTTCAGAATACCATCCAAAGCATATACAAAATAATTATTAAACTCCTGAACTATTATTGCTGTTTTGTAGTTTTTCAGATCTTACCTATTGTAAGGCAAGTACAGTAAATTGGAATACGTGTAATAGTCTTTATTCGACAATATGTGTCACAGTTGTAGCTATGTGGCCAAGAGAACAAACTGTGGCACACTACATGTGGTGCTTACTTAGGTACTGAAATATATGCTTTGTTTAACAAATTAAGAGCAGTTATTAATGACTATCATAGTGATTCTGAGAGTTGCTGACTAGAATAAGAAGAAAGCCTAAAGTTCTGTCAGTTGTGAGTCAGGGACTGTGCATGCCACAAGGATCGCTGGCTGCAGAGGCAGGAGCATGCTCAAGATGGAACTGATTAACAGTGACAGATGAGGGGGTGGAAGGTTGGTTGCCAGATGCTAGCAGGGAATGCACAGAACTGGCAAAACAGGAGCCACACAGAGGTGCCTGGGCATTCTGAAGAGAGAGTATGGACGAAGCCCCACACCAGGCTGGGCACCAGATGAAGCAGAACATTTTAAAGGGTGAGCACAAGTCAAATAATCCCAAGATGACTCCAAGGTCTTTCTTTATTAAAGGCAGAAAACTCATGGAACAAGAAGGGGAGCTATCCTCAAGATGTGGAGCACAGGAACAAGATAGCAAGCATTGTGGGCTGGATTGTGGCTTTTTGGGAACCCAAAAGTCACGCCCCAACCTGGTCTAGCCTTCCTAATGTCATTGGCTGAAGGAAGTTCCCAATCAAGGAGATTTAAGTGAGCAGTGGACATAGATGATAATACAAAGTGACTGTGAATAAGAAAGAATAAATATTACTAAAGATGTTTGAAAAGATATAGACTCTGGCTATCTAATATTTATCTAAGATCACATACAATGTGCATGTATTAACATGTATTTTAGTGATGTTTTACCTTTTATACTGATAATACTACCCAAGTACTATGGACTATATATCAAAAAAGACCCAGTACCATGCAAGACAAATCTCCTCTCAGGATTTTGGTCAGGGTAGCCTAAGAGACCTCCAAAACATTAACAGCTATTGTTACCCTTGATTGGCTCATAGAACTTGAAGCTATGACTCTATTGCTGAAGAGACAAAGCAAATCAGCCACAGATATTGGGGAAATTGAATTAAAAATGATCTGGTACCATGTTTCTGAGAAATGGCTTTCAAAAAATTAAAAAACAGCCAAGAGAGAGGAGCAATCACTTATCCTACACAGATGTGATATCTGTGATCCGTAAAAATAACTGGATTTCAGGTTATCTTCGATGGTGCAATAGTGGTTCTTTTATCTTGGGAAAATTTCAATGCTGTGTAATTGAACTAAGGACTCATTCAAAGAGAGGAAAGCCATGTCTGGTACTTTAAACACAGCCAACCATTTGGGCCTGGAGAGGTCATAAGTTCAAGTGACTTATGAACCCATTGCTGCCAGTTTCCTAAACAAGTGTACTTTCTAGCTGTTCTCTAAATACTTGTCTTTATACCCACAGGTAAATAAAGTTCTCACTCCTCATAAAGAAACTTCTTTTTTCAATATATAAAGATTATCATGAAGTCACACAACTTGTCAAAATGTAGAGAATAATTGACTTTAATGTGTCCAATGCCAACTGATGCATCTCCAGTATATCTCTTCAACCTATGGCTTGGTAAAAACAATGGAATAGAGGACAGAAAGACTTCAGAGGCCCAGGATGCCCATCAATAGAATACATCCCATAGCCATGACAGGCAAATATGCCTATAAACTTTCATTAACATATTTAACAAAAAGAACCACCATAAAGGTATAAGTTGGTAAACAAATGAGGACGGGCAAAATTCTACATGGTCTTACCTGTAGACAAAAGAATACAACAGATCATTGTCTGCTGAACGAGGAAGAATCTGCTGCCTCTGGAGTGGAAATATTATACTGAATGTCCAATCCCAAGTGCTTAACTAAGGCTATATTCCCATACAAACAGAGCTAATTTGACTCAGTAGGTCATAGATACATGTAATACCATACACATAGAAGTGAAAATTGAAGAAGGGATCATAAAGATGAGAAATGGAGGGATGCAATGGAGGGGAAGAAGGATATGGGAATCATATAGTACAGTTAGGGAGCTATGAGTTTCTCAAAAACGCCAACTACACATTCAAGATAAAGAATGTTACATGACAGCATTTGGTATGATCTCTGTAATTTTTCTGTAAAGGTGAAACTATTCTGAAAGCTAAATTGTATCAAAAACATTTTATTTTTATTATTTAATTTTTAAATTTATTTATTAAAAAACTATATTTTCTCATTTTACATAATAATCCCAATTCCTACTTAATCCTCTGCTACAGTTCTCTCCACATTCATGTCCACTCCACCTGCATCCACTTCTTAGAGAGGGTAAGGCTTCCCATGGGGAGTAGACAACACATATTGTTTTGAGGCAGGACCAAAGCCTTCCACTATATATAGGGTAAGGAAGATACCCCTCCAAATAAAATGGGTTCTTAAAAAGTAAGGATAAGCAGTGGGGATAAATTCTGGTCCCACTGTCAGGGTCCCCCCAGTCTGCCCCAGTCATATACACTCACATTCAGTCATTGTCACTCACATTCAGAGGGCCTAGTTTGGTCCTATGCTGGAGGTGGTAGTTTCCCATTAACTCAGGTAAACTCCATCAGGGGTATCTCCATCATGGTCTTGACCTTATTGCTAATATTCTCACTCCTTTCACACTTCAACTGGACTTTGGAAGCTCAGCTCTCGCTCCACTGTGAATCTCTGCCTCTGCTTCTATCAGCTGCTGGATGAAGGTTCTATGATGACAATGAAGATAGTCATCAATCTGACTACAGCACAAGGCTAGTTCAGGCACCCTCTCCATTATTTCTTAGGGTCTTATCTGGGGTCATCTTTGTGGATTTTTGTAAATTTCTCTAATACCACATCTTGTGCTAGCCACATAATGGATCCCTCAATCAAGATATCACTTTCCTTTCTCTCTGTCACTATCCTTCCCCATCTTCCCCATCCCTTTCTCTCATCTTGTCCTACCACCCTTACTTCTCCCTTCACTTTCCGCTTCTGCCTTCATTCTGTCCCCACCACCATCAAACATAGTTTCTTATGAGATTTTGTCTATTTCCCCTTCCCAGTAGGATTAACATATATTTCTCTTGGGGTTCTCCTTGTCACTTAGTTTCTCTGGGGTCATGGGCTCATTATCCTTTGTTTTACATCTAGTATCTGCTTATAAGTAGGTACATACCATACTCATATTTTTGCATCTGGGTTACATCATTTGAAATGGTTTTATTTAGTTCCAACCATTTCTGTGACAATTTGTAGATTTAATTTGTTTCCATAGCTGAGTAGTATTACATTGTGTAAATAGGCCGCATTTTTCTTTATCCATTCTTTGTTTGAGGAGCATCTAGGTCGTTTCTGGCTATTGTAAATAATGCATCTATTAACCTAGCTGAACTAATGTCCTTATAGTATAATTGAGCATCTTTTGAGTATATTCCCAAGGGTGGTGTTGCTGGGTCTCAGGTAGGTTGAATACCACACACAAATACTACCATCAAAATGTAACATTGGCCATTAATATCTCTTAATACCAATGGGCTCAATTCACCTAAAAAAATAAGCAAACAGAATACATGTGAAAGCAGGACCCACCCTTCTGCTGTATATAAGAAATACACCTAAACCTCAAATAAAGATTTTACCTCAGTGTAAAGGGATGGAAAAAGATTTTCCAATCAAATGTACCCAGGAATAAAAGCAGAAGTAGCTATCCTAATATCTAATAAAGTAGACTTCAAACTGATAAATCAGACAAGATGGTAAAGGACACTTCATACTCATCATAGGAAAAAAATCAATCAAGATGAAATCTCAATCCTGAACATCTATGCCCCAAATACAGGAGCACCCACATATAAAAAACAATAAAAAATTACTAAAGCTTAAATAGCACATCAAATCCCACATGGTAATAGTAGGAGATGTTAAGACACCATTCTTCTGCAATGGGCAGGTCAACCAGATAGAAACTTAACAGAGAAATAAGAGAACTAGCAGATGCCATGACTCAAACTGATGTAACAGACATCTATAGAACATTTCACCCAAACACAAAAGAATATACCTTCTTTGCACCTCATGGAACCTTCTCTAAACTTGACCACATACTTGGTAACAATGCAAACCTCAACAGATACAAAAGAGTGAAATAACCCTCAGTGTCTTATTGAAAACATTTTAAATTATGGTTTTTTTCTATGTCCAACTACTTGTTATTGAGTTACTGGTTTGGAGTCATAACCTCAACCTCACAATTTTCCAGAATGATTTCTGAATGAGTTCACAATTGCTTAATACAGCGACCTTTGGATGACTGTTGCAATATCTATTTCTTGCTACCCATATTCCATTTCGTAACAAACTATGGGATGTTAATGATTTATTTGTCTACACTGTACCTTTTACCTCTCATAATTTGCTATAATCAAAACAGGGGGCCAATATCGGAATCCTAAGAGCACCCAAAAAGAAGTATTTGCCATGTCAGACTTCCTCTGGTTTGAAGGAATACCTTTCCCTGTTCTAGATCATGAAAAAGAAATTATTGGAGAGTGCCACAATAAGTTTGGATTCAGAGATGAAGACACAGTCATACTGAGTTACCCAAAATCTGGTAAGGACCATCACGGAAAATGATCTTAAGTGTCTGGGAAAGGTTAGAGCTTTTATATTTACTAATTTTGGTGATGACTGGAGTGCTTTATGTATCTCATATGTTCAACACTCTGTGGGCTTGGTGAGTGAGAGTATTTCCACTTAATGAAACAACTCTACCCTAACCTGTGGGATCAGAGTACCAACTTATAGACAGTATAACATAAAGCAGTCTCTGGCATTAGTCTGTTTCTGGCATTAGTGTAGAAAAGAAAGTGGAAGAGCGGGATTGATGAGAATTAACAGAAGAAATAGCACCTAGAGGAAAAGGCATGGTTGTAAGAATGTACGGAGAAGAGGACAATGACAGGTAGAGGAATTCTCCAGTAAGACATCTGAGTAAGTTCACAACTGCTTAAATAGTAACCTTTGGCTGGCTGTTGCAATATCTACTCTTTTCCTAATTGTAGCACATTTCAGAACAAACTATGGGATGTTAGTGATTTCTTTCCTACACTATATATTTTACTTCTCAACCTTTGCTACGATCTAAACAGGTGACCAAAGCTGGAATCCTAACAGCATGCATATTAGGTCCATGGACAAGGACACGAACCTTGTCTAGGTAATGGAAAGAGTCTCAAAACTGAAGGAACAAAAAAGACATCATGGGCAATTGAGGGAGGGTTGTTTGGTGGGTGCCAAAAGAATTGAGCGTGGGTAAGTACTAGGTTGCTGACATTGAAACTGTAATAACATGGTGAAGCAAGGGTAGTGGAATGCAGGTAAAGGATCCAGAAGATAGCCCAGAGCAGAGCTAGAGAAACATCCTTTGACAAATAAGCATATAAACACAGATACAAGTGTGTGTGTGGGGAAAATAGACACAAGGGAATTTATTTACCTTTACTGTAGCAATACTCAACCACACACAGCGATGAGGGTACATCTCAATGGCAATGTTTTAAATAAAAAGAGCAAGTTTCATGGACAGATTCCACAGTTGCATCCCTGGGAAATATCTGAGAAAGGTTTATTCACTGTACCAGAATGTAGAATGATAAGGGCCCAGAACTGTAGGGGATTTTCAACTGGTAGGTGGGTTTATTGAATATAAAGTCTCAACTTTGCCAGGTAAGCATTGGGAATGTCCTGGAGAAATATACTTTGTACTTAAACCATGTGGACATTGTGAAAACCACATCTCTGTGTGGTTGGAAACATCTGCACTGTAAATTGAATAAAAATATTTCAACTTGAGGCCTTTTTTCACAATCAGTGTTTGAATGAATGACTATAAGTTTTCTTTTTTTCTTCAGGAACTAACTGGCTTGTTGAGACTGTCTGCTTGATTCAAACCAAGGGGAATCCCAAGTGGATTCAATCTGTGCCTATCTGGGAACGCTCACCCTGGATAGAGTCTAAAAGAGGGTATCTAGAATTAACCAATCAAAAAGGACCACGCCTCATGATTTCCCACCTTCCCATCCATCTTTTCCCCAAGTCTTTCTTTAGTTCCAAGGCCAAGGTCAGTGTCCATTTGTTGACAAATCTTTAATCAAATGCACATTGAATTTATTCTACCAAGAAGCACCCTGTTTATATAAGATATCCTTTTACAGTGGGTGTTTTTAATCATCTCAGTGACTTCAGTAAATTTGTTTTACATTTCTATAGTCAAATTAGATTATCAAAAGATATTATGATTATAGATAATTTTCACTTCTGTATATATTTTGTCCAAATAAACAGAATAAAAGTTTTTTGGAAACATCATGAATATTTGATTGATATCTCACATAAATTGTGCCACTAAGTTTGGGAATATGTATATTGACCTTCATTTACATTTCTTTCTATTTAAGGTTATCTGTGTCATCAAAAATCCCAGAGATGTTCTTGTATCTGGTTATTTTTTCTTTGCTAATAAAAACCTTATTAAGAATCCAGAGTCATTAGCAACTTATTTTGACTGGTTATGGTGACTATCCTGTTGAGTCTAGGAGCTGAAGGAGGTTTACATACATATGTATGATGTAGCTTAGGCTGAGTTTGAACTTTCCATATTACCAATGACAACCTTGAAGGTCTCCTCCTACTGTATCTACCTCTTCTGTCCTAGGACTTCAAGTACCTATTTCCATATTCTGTTTATTTAATGCTGGGGCTCAAACACCCAAATCCATATAAGTTAACTAACTTTGCTATATCCCTATCCTATTGTATATTATATAGCCTCTACTGGGTTCCATCTTATTCCTCTACATTCAACGTTTTTGTGGATTCAAGGCTTATCAGAATTTCAAGTCTAACTGTAAAGCCTGCCTATTCTCATGCACAACTGAAAACAGGGCACAGTAACAGTTTTGACACACCACCCTGACAACATTTCCAGTACTAATATAGATATTATCATTTATGCTATGCTGGTTTAAATGACAAATGCCTTCACAAAGACGCAGGCATATGAATACTTGTTTCAAACAGCTGATGATACTATTTTAGAAGATTTATGAGGCACAGCCTTGATAGTGAAAGTATATCAGTGAGTGTGAGTTTGAGAGATTAAATTATTAAGCCACTTCACCAGTTTCCTTGCTCTGTTTCTCGGAGTTGAGGAAATGAACTCTCAGCTTTCAGATCCTATACTCTACCTCAACATTTGTTCTAAGATCTCTGAATACCCAGGCCAAAAATAAGCTTTATCTTCCTTAAGTTACCTTTTTCATAGTATTTTATCACAGCAAAAAAAAGATAAAAATGTGATTTTTTTTTTTCTTTTTTTTTTTTTTTTTTTTTTTTTTTTTTTTTTTTTGCCATGTGGATTTAGTTCATCAGGTTTGGTAGCAAGAAATTTACCTATTCACTCATTTTAATATTCTTTGATGAGTTACTGAATTTGGTTAGAAAGGTTTTGGTGAGAAGTTTTTATCTATGTAAATTATAGGCATTATTGTGTATTTTTTTGACTTTTTGTCTGCTTTGTTTTATCAAGATGATACATCACAGAAATATTTTGTTGGTGTGACTTCTTTTATGGAACAGATCAAAAAGCATTCTTGTTCTCTGAAGATCTAGAAGAATTCATCAGGCTGTGGCTGATCATGCAGAACACTCTTTTTACCAAACAGCATTACTTGCAAATGTCACTGTAATGAGTATTTAATCTGGTTCAGGGCCTCTGGCTTCTGATAAATAATCAGTACTAGAGCCTCATCCAGATTCTTCTCAGATATCCTACCAATGCTCAGAGTCATCCTGTAGCTATGCTTCCACGGGACTGGGCACTTCCATATTATCCATAAATTCATGGATAGTCTCTATATTGAGGTAAACCAGCTCAAGACCATTACTCTGGACCTTGGTGGTAGATGAGTTGAGCAGACCTGATCTTTGCTGTGTTTTCCTAAGACACCAGAGCTGCAGGAAAGAGGGGGTGGTAGGCCTGATAAAGTATGTTTATTTTATTTTATGTGTAGAAGTGCTTTTCTTTCATGATGTATGTTGAAGTATATGTGTCTAATGCCCACAGAGGCTGGAAGTAGGCATTGTGAGCTATCATATGGGTACTAGAAATTGTATCCTGATTCACTAGAACAGACTTGTATTCTTTTAACTGCTGAACCTTCCCTCCATCCCTACCTGTTTATTTTCTTTCTTTTTTTTTTTTTTTTTTTTTTTTTTTTTTTTTTTTTTTTTTTTTTTTTTTTTTTTTTTTTTTTTTTTTTTTTTTTTTTTTTTTTTACATTTGACTTTGATGTGAGGAACAGAGGCGCGCTTCCCACCATCAGGCTAACTTTACCCGAAATAATTACATGGAAACTGTATTCTTTGGAACACTGCTTGGCCCATTCATTTTAACCTCTTATTGGCTAGCTCTTACATATTGATCTAGCCCATTTCTAATATTCTCTGTAGCACCACAAGCTGGCTTACCAGGAAAGATCTTAACCTGCTTCTGTCTGGAGTGGGAGAATCATGGTGACTGACTCGGCTTCTTTCTCCCAGCATTCTGTTCTGTCTACTCTGCCTACCTAATGTTTTGTCCTATCAAAGGCCAAGCAGTTTCTTTTTTAATTAACCAATGAAAGCAACAGATTAGAAAGAAGTCACTTGCACATCATGACTTGGTGATTTTTCTCTTGTCAATTTAAATATACTTTCTTTGTTTAATTATAATATTATTATGGGAGTTTCTTTCTGATTGTGTAGTAGGAGTTGTGGGCCTCTTCCCTCAGCCCGGCTCCCAGCTGCCTGGCTAGCTTATGCTCCGAAATAACAACACACAAACTGTATTCTTTTAAACACTGCTTGGCCCATTATATCTACCCTTTTCTTAGCTAACTCTCGCACCTGGACTAGCCCATTTCTAATAATGTGTGTAGCACCCCAAGGTGCACTTACCGGGAAGATTCTAGCCTAAGTCCATCCTGGGTCAGAGCTCCATCGCGTCTGCCCGGCAGAGGGGAGCATGGCATATGAACTCACTTCCACTTGCTCCCAGCATTCTGTTCTGTTTACTCCACCCACCTATGTTCTAACCTATCAGGGCCAAGCAGTTTCTTTATTAATTAACCAATGACCTTCCTCCATCACTGACTGTGTCTATGTTATGTCCTAAATTCTGCCAATATCTGAATTGGCATCTGTTCTAACAAAAACCCACCTAGAGAAAAAAGGGTTTATTTTATTTTCAACTCCGAGTTAAAGTTTATTATCAATGAGAAGACTTGTCAGGAAGTTAAAGTAATATGTTAACAGTCAAGAACATGTAGACAACTATATTTACACTTGCTTTCTTGTCCTCAGTTAGCTTTCTCTTCACTTATACTTTTCTGATCCCCCATTAGTAGCAAATGAGACCAAACACAATGTGATTCACCTTCTAAATCATCCATTTACAATCCAGATAATCACTTAATAACATGTCCAAAGATTAATGTGACATAAGCAATTTCTCCTTAAAATTCTGTTATAAGATGTTTATAGGTTGAGTCTAGTTAACAGTGGAAACTATGCAATACAATGTCTCTTTTCTTAAATTTGGGAAATTGTTTTTAAAATGTTTTAGACTGATGAACCTTAGATTTGTACTTTTCATAGAGTCACAAATATCTTAGAAATCACACTCATATCTTCTTGTTATGTTATCTTTGCTCTTATTGTACTGTCCCACATCCTTTGTCTTGCTTTCATACTGTGACTTTTTCCCTTTTTAAAACATCTCATTTATTATGACCTGATGAGTATGTTGTCTTCAATGTCTGTGTGGGTACACACATTTCACAGAACATATGTTCTAACCTGGGAACAGCTTTGTGGAGTCACATGTGTGCTTCTAATTTATGTGGATTCCTGAGACTGAGAACTGCTTTTCAGATTAACAGGATACATACTCTAACTCATTGCCGTCTCTATTTACTTCATTTATAATTTATTTATTTTTTAAATTATTTTGTGCTCATTTCCATTTTTCATTGTCCAATATGGCTTACTTTTCAAATTTATGCAATTAGGAGCTTGAGAAATGGCTCAGCGGTAAAAAAAACAAAAAACAAAAAAAAAAAAACAAAAAAACCCCCACATGATTCTTTTCAGAGGAGGGGAGTTTATTTCCCAGCACTTACACACAGAGTGATTCACAGTCTCCATGACTCCAGCTTCAGGAGAACTGAAACACTTTTCTCATCTTGGCAGGCACACACACAAAGTCTCATAATCATAAAAATCTCACAATCATATACAAAAATAAAAAAATATAAAATTTTAAAATTATTTCATTAACTACAAGTTTCTAGGACCTTTCATATTCTCCAAATATCTACCTATAAATCCTATTTCTTTTTCTACCCCCTCCTACTTCTCCCCATCTCTTTCTATATCTTTCTACTTGATGATTTATTCCCCTCACTCTGTTCATTAATATGTTTACTGATGATGTCATACAACCTTGAATCGTATCTTTATTTGATTTCACTCAACAGATGAAGGTGTTGAGTAGATTCTTCCTTTCTAACATAATATAAGATATTCTTTCCATCTCTGTCATTGAATCTTGCTTTCTTCCTAGCACACTTAACCAGGAAGCAGGTATTTACTTCTCTTTTTTTTTTTAATATTACTACCCACTAACACTCAGATCTTGTGGTTTTTTGTTTTCAGAGTCAGCCACCAAATTTCATCACTTGATATATAGCAATTAAAATATAACAAAATATCAAATATTCAGGCTGGATAGGATGGTGCAAACCCGTGATTGCAACACTAATGTGGTAAATATTTCAAGGCCATCTTGTCAACAAGACTGAACCAGCCTTGTTGACATACCTTTTGCAGTCCCTGTCCCCCAAAACACAAATATCTTTTAAAACAATTTCCAAGGCAGAAGCCCTGTTAATTATTATTTAGTTATGTGTCATCGGCTTATTTTTGGTTCCCTTACTTGCAGCTTTTTGATTTGAGTCAGGAAATGTTGTATCCAAGGTAGAATAGTAATACACTATGTTCTTGAAAATAACATTGAACACCTAGACATCTCTTGTCACTATCTCCTGAGTTTTGGCATTACAGATAAATAAAAGCTTGACTTTTAGCTTTTCTTTTGATATGTATAGATATGTGTATTTTTGATAGTTTGAATGCAAAAGTGTAAAAGTGTGTGTTCTTGTGCTAAAGACAGACAATACATCAGGTGTTGAGCTTTAATATCTACCTTGTTTGAGACAGTCTCTTCTAGTTCTTTGCTGTGTATGTATGAGATTAGCAGGTCCCAAGCTTTTGGGATTTCTCCTATCTCAATATCCAATGCTATAGATTTCTGGGTATTCATACTCAGGTTCTCACACAATCAAGGCATTTTTTTTTTTACTAAATCATAACCTAACCCCAGTTTCAATCACTTTAAGTGACTTAATACTGTCATGTATTGTCATTTCTTTTTCTGTCTACAGTCTCTCCATAGATCATTTACCTCCAGTTTTCACTCAAATCTTAGACACTTTGAATTCACATATCCTATTGCTCCAATCCTGGCTTAACTCTTGTTTTTTTTTTTCTTGGCTTGATTAAGTTAGCTTTTCAAATAATGAGGAACAACAACGCAAGTGTGGCGTAGAGGCTAAAATATTAACAGAGAGGAAAGCTATTCCAGGAACAGTGATGACACTGTAAATGTTGAAAACACATCACAGTAGCACTGGGAATGCCAATAAAGCATTGGGGAGAGTGTGAGAGTCTATGCCTGGGAGGTCTCTAGTATCTGTGTTTTGGAAGCTTGTGTCTTGTGGAGACACTATTGAACAATAGAGGTGAATGCCACTGGGAGGTTAATTCCCTCAGAAAGGGTTAAGAAAGTTCCCCAGACATGGTGACATTTAAAAGTCCAAATCTGGCTATGCCCACACCACTCTGGATTTCTGTATTATTGTGATCAGTTTTCAACAATTCATGTCTATATCACTGCATGCTTCCAAGTGGATGTCTCCTCGTGGCATTAAAAGTAAAGTTGTCAGGTGATAAGTTTACTAAGAAATTTAATCTTATCAGCTCACTGTGTTATTTTCGAACTTAGTCACTGCTATGAGGATGACTCTCCACAGTGAAGGCACAATGTGGAAACCATGAACTTGGTGAATTAATCACAGAACTTGAATTTTCTCTCTGAGAGAGTAAAAATTTTTCAGCAGTCAACGAGGGGGACTAAACTGAACTCTCTGCAGCCTGCAAAAAAGGAAAAGAAACATGCACACACTTTCAGAGTCTTTTCATCATCATATCTCTTTATTGTTCTTTCTTTCTTCTTTTGCTGACTATATATCCCAACTATATATCTCTCAGACAACATAAGCATTGAAATATGGTTACATTCTATTTTTCAAGTGAATTATTACAGTGAACATAGGTTAAAATACATTTTTTCATTTCTTTTATATGATTAAAAATACTACATTTACAAATGAAAACCATTATCTCAACAAGTCACATACATTTGTATCTAAACAGCACATTACAGATGAACAAAGTTTAGACAAGCAACATATTTTTAATCAGCAGGCTGCATTTTGTGATTTCAATGAAAGGATCAATCACTTTTGTTCTTATCTCAAAAGGCAATATTACAAGGAATTTAAAAAAAAAATCACAAACCTAAACTTTATATATGAAAGAGTCATCTCTATTTTAAATCCTCAAGGTGCATACCCGTTAATAAACTGCTTTTTTATATCAAGAAGCTGATGGCAGAAATGGGCCCAAGGAATTAATAATCATCTTTGATCACTAACCCATTCTAAGAATAAAGCACATTAGCTAATAATAACAATGATACAATTGTTAATGTTCTTTGACGTCAGTGAGTCCCTCACTAAATTCTGTGCATTTTTAATTTTGATTCCCCAGGATTTTTACCTCAAAATTATTAACAGAAACATATTATCTATACTTCAGTCATATTTAAAGCTTTATTTAGCTATGATGTACACCAAATCCCATGAATACATCTCTTAACAATAAGTCTAAAATTACTTCAGATAACTTAGCTTTTGAGACACAAATGTTTTTCTTAATCATTAACCTAATCCACAGTCTATATGACTCCCCATGAAAAACTAGCTGTGTGACATTTAGTTCTTCTTATCATCTATTCTTTCCAAGCCCTGCTTCATCAGGTGCAGGGACAACACCATATCTTGTTTTTACCTATATAACTTTCACATTATACTATTTTCTATCATAATCAATTACTATATTTACTAAAGACCAAACATCAAAATCCTGTTTAAACTAACATTGTTATTGTATAAAATCATTACTTCTGTTAAATAGCTCATCTTGTGAGGAAATATTTTTTATAATGATCCACAGGTAAAAATTCCCAGTAGAATTGTATATTTCCATGGGATAATCATACTACATTAAAGGGAGTGGTGATCACTTCATGCCCATTCACAGAATGACACATACCAGAGAATAATGGCAGCAGCAAATATGTAACAGCATACCAGTATAACAAGGGGCCAAAGTATCTGGAGCTTTTTCTATCCAAATTTCACCCATCAGAGCTTTGCTTCAGCGTGGAACAACCTCATGAACTTTTTTTTTTTTTTTTTTTTTTTTTTTTTTACCACCCAGTGCTCTTCTGATATAGCTACTAGAAAAACGTTATATTGAATACTGTAAATAATCTTTGGACTTTCCTTAGTAAAGCTGTCTGACATTTTCAGAAAGGTGAAGAATACCAGACAGACTTCACTTTTATTCTATGTAATCAAAATTTCCTCCTCCCCTCACACAGTGATATATGGATCATGGTTTGAACATACCCGTGCCTGGCTTTCCATGAGAGCAAGGGACAACTTTTTACTAGTAAGCTATGAAGACATGATAAAGGTGAGTATCATTCTCACAGCAGCCAAACAACCTCCAACAAACCACTTCATGCAGAACCCCACATCCGTCTTTCCCCATCCGCCTGTTCTGTCAGTGTCAAGTTCATGAACAATTACTTAAAGTGAGATTATGTTCTATGTCGTTGTGGACCTGCATCAAGGATTTGATCTCCAGCCTCCTGGTCAACCACACATGTTTTCTTTAGTTCACACTTGAACTATAGGTTTTCTAATTCTGTCTTTGCAACACACTCAACAAAGCTAATAACACACTGGTCAGTTATGTCATCTCCCCTGACCACAAGAAAAGCAATCAAGGCACGGAATCCATCTGTGAATCCTGGAACAGCAAAGTGCTGAAGTCACATGATGAGCACTGAGTGATATTCAAATCTGCAAGGTGTGTACAGGTAGAGCCAGCTGGGAAGATGGTGTTCTGTGCTCTTCAGTACAGAGGATTCTACATGGTGGGCTAGGATACACTGGAGATGTCTTATTAGAAACTACATAAAATGTTTCAACATCAAGTAATGGCATATCTTTAAAAAGATTGAGAGCCCATGCCCTTATATGATCATTGCAGGGTTTATTTAATTAAAATATCCAATTTAAGGTTATAAATATCCTTAATATTACATGTGCCTCAAATAATATTTTAAAATCTGAAAGAAAAACTTGGCATGGCGTCTCATGAATATAAACCTAGAACTTGGATATAGAGACATATTCATGGGTCATCCTTGTTTGCATGGTGGGTTTGAGATCAACCTTGAAATAACTTTTAAATTTATTTGCATATTTTTTATCATTTAGTTAAAATTATTCCCTTTTATGATATACATATAACAGTGACACTTTGAATATAAGCACAAAAGTATTCTTATTTCATCAGTAGCTCATTAATTTAAGTGACTCGGAAGTTATAGATGGAACGTAACCACCATTTACATTGGAAAACTAAAGCTATTCATTGGACATTTTACTGAGCAAGAAAAAAAGTTCTGATAATTAGGTCTGTCAGAGAAAACATATATCAATGCTTAGAACTGTTGAAAAATTAAGTTAAGAAGGAAAAGAAGCAATCTTACAGCCTCTGTTTACTTATAGAAGTAGACTCTGGTGAGTATGAAGGTTACAAATAGGTGTAGCTTCTTGTTTTTTCTTACTTTATTTTTATTATTCAAGACACTTTTTAAATTTAATCATATTTTGATCATATTATTTCTCTCTCACAATTCCTTCCAAATTTTCTCCTCTTCCTTGCCCTCCCAATCTTAAATTCTTTCTCAAAAACAAAGCCAATAAAACAATATTTCCTCCCAAATAAATCAATACCTCCAAAACCAAAAACAATGAACTATAACCAAATAAAAGCACCCCCCAAAAAACTGTGGAGGCTATTATCTGTTGGTCAACTACTCTTCAATATGAAGACTGCTGTGCAGTGGCTTATGTATCCACTGTTACTGCATTGGAGACAACTGATTCTCCCAGCAGGTATAAATAAAAATTCAGTTGTTAACATCTACTCTAGTGGTTAGATTTTTCATTCATTCATTCATTCATTCATTCATTCATTCATTCAATCACTCACTAACTCATATTTTAAAATATAAAAAATAAAACAACAATTTAATGAAACTATTATCACTTCAAAGTTGGACAAGATAAATAAACAGAAAGAAAATAGCACAAGACAAGTAACAGGCAGAAACTAACTTGTTTGTTCATTCAGGAAGTCTATATAAACACTAAACTGAAAGCCCTATTATATAAGCAGAGGACAGGTGCAGGCTTGTTTGTCACTATGCATGCTGCCAGAGTCTTTTGTTTCATATGAACTTTTCTCATGTTGATGTGGAGGGCCTTGTTTTCTTGCTGTCCTCACTCTTCTCTGACTGTCACAGTCACATCATTTCTTCTTCTTCTTCTTCTTCTTCTTCTTCTTCTTCTTCTTCTTCTTCTTCTTCTTCTTCTTCTTCTCCTTCTCCTTCTTCTCCTCCTCCCCCCTTTTCTTCCTCCCCCTTCTGCTCCTCCTCTTCTTTCTTTCTTCTTCTTCTTCTTCTTCTTCTTCTTCTTCTTCTTCTTCTTCTTCTTCTTCTTCTTCTTCTTCTTCTTCTTCTTCTTCTTCTTCTTCTTCTTCTTCTTTCCTCATCGTCCTCCTTCTCCTCTGACTTCTTCTTCCTCAGATTTGTTCTCTGAGTTCTAATGAGAGAGGTTTGTTGGAGACTTAACATTTAAGGCTTATTGTTCAAATATATCCCACTCTCTTTATTGTCTGCCTGTGACTCTCTCTATTTGTTCCAAATTGCTTCATGAGAAAGCTTCTCTGATGCTGTCTGACTTAGCACTTATCTGAGCATAGCAGCCTATCATCAGGAGTCATTTTGTCACTACATTTTTAGATCAGTATTATTTAGTTTTACCCTGGGTCCACAGGCTATTTAGCCCCTGGTCATCAAAGCAGTGTAAGATATGGGATTCATCTTGAGGAGCCTAAGGAGTGGGCCTGAAATAAAATCAGTTATTGGTTTGTTATACTATAAGCTTTGTGCCATCATTGATCTATTATATCTTGTACATAGCGCACCACTGTAGATCAAAGAATTTTTGGATGGCTTCATGTTTACATTTTCTTTGGATAGCATGCAGAGTACCTTCCTCTAACAGTGATGCTGGTGTAGAGGTGAAAGCTTTATGTAGTCAGCAGCCCAGCATCTCCGTGTTCCATGAGTAATGAAGATGTCTTTAGTTATGGGGCCTTGTTGTCAATTTGTGAAGAATAACTTATAGTCTTGGAAACAGCCTGTGTTGTTTAGAAGTACACATGCAATATCTTTGGCTAACAACTCAATTAAGGTAACACAATCTCAATACTGGAACCTTCCTTTGGTAACAAAAGATGGCCATTTGGGACACCATCTCTGCTATTATTAGTGTATATTATTTAGATTGCCTTCAAATTTGTGTGTGCATATATACATATTTTTAAGAAGTTTCTACTATAATATGCTGTATATATAGTTTTCCTGAAATGTCCCTTAATTTTAGCTGTCTTTCTTCATATTCCCTTCCTCAAGTCTATCTTCTTTCCCCTTCTCCACTAGATCCTCCCATTCCAGTCCTTGCCTATCCATCCATAATTTGTGTTCTTTGTTTAAAATTTTTTTACTATGTTCTGAGGGTATTTTTTATCTATTCAGTATATTTGATGTTCTGCAATCTTATTTTATTTAAATGGGAATCTACTTTCTTAAGTTAGGAAAACTTAATTCTATGAGGTTGTCAGCATTTCCTGTGGCACTGACTTGGGTTTTTTTCTCTTCTTCCTCTGCTTATACTAAAAGATTTAGTTAGTTCTTGTTGTCCCAGATATCTTGAATATTTTGTGATGTGAATGTTTTGAGATTTGAAAATTTTGACAAATGTATATATTTTTTCTCTGATGATTCTTCAATGACTGTGAGTCTATTGTCCATCTTTTGTATTCTGTTCATGTAACTTATCTCTGAGATTCCTTGATTTTTTATTCATTTCCTTCCATTGTTTGTGTTTTCATACGTTTCTTTAAGGTATTTTTCCATTTCTATTTTAAAGAACTCTATTATACCTTGCAGGATTTTTAAATGTCTTTTTCTTGTTCTACAGGTAAGTTGTAATATGTATTGCCTCTTGTAGTAATGTGCCTGGGCTCTAGAGAAGACATACTCTTCTGGATGTTACTGGTTTTGTTTTTGTGTGTAACATATTGGCAGCTGAATTTGCAAAAATTGTAATTTTAGATGATGATATCTGATCCTGTCTTTGTTGGCCTGGTTCTTCCTTCTTTATTTTATGTTGCACTGAGTAGTACTCAGCAGAGTGTGGTGGTTGTGTCTAGCCAGGTAAGAAATTCTGTGATCCTGATGCCTTTTGGATATAGAAATATCACACTTAGATATGGGAATAGGCAAGGAAAGGGCATAAGAATATTCACAGGAGTGAAGGAATCGGAGTCTGCCACAGTTTCTGCTTATTAAGTTACTTGGGAATGGGACCCCTGAGTGAGGAGAGGCCACAGCAGAAGTTCTTGTATACAAAGGTATGGAAAAATTAATTGAGGTTTGACCTTAGAATAATGATGGTAAGCATGAAAATCTGAGGTTAACTTACTTTTTTTCCTGGTTAGAGTTGCCTGTGGGTCCTTACTGAGTGTTTGCTTAATTTGAGGACTAGAATAAAGCAATGAGTACTTAAATGCAACTTTGGAAGTTCATATTTGTGTGCACCACTTGAGAGAGCAGCATTTGGTAAAGGAGGCTGCAGCACATAGTCTACACAGAGCTTGCCATGAAACTATGACTCTAGCATTTGTTGAAGTAGGAGCTTTGGTGCTGCGTCCCTGGCACCCGGCCGCCTGCATGGCTAGCTTATGCCCGAAATAATTACACGGAAACTGTATTCTTTCAAACACTGCCTGGCCAGGCTAGTCCAGCTTCTTATTGCCTAGTTCTTACATATTGTTCTAACCCATTTCTAATATTCTATGTAGTCCACGAGCTGGCTTACCAGGGAGGATCTTAACCTGCATCTGTCTGGAGCTGGAGAATCATGGCGACTCCTCACTCAGCTTCTTTTTCCCAGCATCCTGTTCTGTTTTCTCCACCTACCTAAGGGTTGGCCTATCAAATGGGCCTAGGCAGTTTCTTTATTAATAAGAAATCACTCCCACATCAAGCATTTGAGAAAAAAAATGAGATGTGAAGATATGTTTTTACAGTACCTGCTTCCCTGTGAAGCTTGCCTATGGGATACTAGGTAATTCTTGTTGGAGTTGATGTGTGGGACAAAGCATTTCGTTGAGGTACTGAGATTGGGAGGTATTGTGAGATCCTTTAGAGATTGTGAGACCTGATATAGGTGTTCTGTTGTTGAGCTGAGCAAAAAACTGGAAGATTGGACTCAAAGGGATGATGGGAACATTAATATCTATAGTTAGCTTATATGTTCTCTGGACAAAGT